ATGGATGGATGGATGGATGGATGGATGGATGGATGGATGGGTGGATGGATGGATGGATGGATGGATGGATGGATGGATGGATGGATGGATGGATGGATGGATGGATTTTTGGAGTTTTGCAACTCCTGAATAATGACAGATGTCATGCCAGTTCTAAAATTGAAAACTAAGCTGTTTATCAATCTAGAAGTAATACTGTCACGGTTAGAGAATATAATTATTTTTCTCATCTGAAATATGTCATTGGACACATTTACCAATTAATATTTGGTTAGTAAATCTTGATGGTGTTTGAATGTGGTGCCAGCAGCTTAAAATATACATTTGATTGTAGAAACCATGCTTGTGCCCTGTTAATGTAATGTATTAATTAGTGTTGGAGGGTGGGCTACAAATAAACAGTCACAACAGGAAAACAGTAAATTGTGTCAACCCAAAACTTCCTACAGTAATTGGTAGGTAAAATTTAAGTCCCATATGCACACGTGTCTCGGGGGACTTCACGTGGCACAACAGATACTGTATTTTCTGTGAACTCAAAGGAAGGAAATAAAGTTGTCCCAAGAGCAGCTGATGTTTTTTAACTGCTGCACCATTAGGAGTGTATTCACTCACATCAACTTGATATGGTGTTTTAACAACTCTGCAGCAGAAAAATAAGGCATCACAGGGTGTTTTTAAAGGTTGCACAAAGGAATAACACATTTGCTTTTAAAGACATGTAGATATCTCACTGTATGCAGAAAAAAATGCTACATTTGAATACATTTTCTATCTTGCCCTCGGGCAAGAAATACTGAGTCATCAAGGCACAGATCAGAACATGCAAGGAGAGATAGTTCCTGGTCTGCTTTCATGTCCGAGTTTGCTTGGTATTCACACTGACATTTTTTTCCCACTAAGCAAACAATATTTACATATATACATATGTACAGATAATGTCACACTCTAATTGGACAGCTTTCTGACATATGTTTTGTTCAAAAAACTTTTAAAACCTTCCCAACATTGCTGTCTTTCAGGATAAAAGCATTCTGTGGCTTGAAGGAGGCTTTGTAGAACGATATAGTTGCCAATGGAAATGTCACAAAGGACTGAAGTATATAAAGGAGTCAGAATGGTGCCAGGAGATCTTGAATTACACTCACAAAAAAAAAGGATTTGCTGCAAATAAACAGTGGATCTGATGCCTGAACTGAACTATAATGAGCAACAGAGTTCCTACACGCCAAAGAACTGGGTCAGCTTGAAAGAAAGAGATGTACTGTAAGGTTTGATCGCACTTCAATTGAACCACAACATTGTTTGATTTGAAGTGGACCAAAAACTTTAAAAAGGGATTTCTGTTTGCCTTCTTTGGAATGCACTAAATTTCAGATAAAAACTAAAATAATACCAACAAAAGTTTGCCTTGAACAAAATAAACCTGTGAACTTTAAGGCACAAAACACCTGAACTCAAACCGGATAAAACAGTTTCTGTCCTAAATACATCACCACAATATAAGCTCAACTCTTAAAGAAAATAAGATTTAATACAAGTTTCACATTGTGGTACAATTGGAGTGATTTTCCTAAATATCTTTTGCACAAAATGATCCAGAGTTCAGCAAAAGCAAATTAAGTGTGAGTAATTCTCTGTATTTTTCTGTAAATTCTGTTTTCAGTTGTGCTCTGAACTGTTTAATCAGAATAAAATTCTGTTAAATTTTAAGATAAAGGTAGAGGTGAAGTGAAAAGCACAGGTCAGATCTAACATGCTGGAATGAAGTTACATGTTTTAGATAAGACAGTCTGAATAACAAATCTGATGGTCATCTGCTTTGCTGGTCTATCTTCTCTCTCTGTGTCTCTTTCTTTTTTAAGGCTTCAAAAATATATTTTTTTTTCATTTTTATTTATTTATTTTTATTTATTTATTTGTTTATTTTTGGTGGGAGCTTGTATGCATTATTCTCATTAGCACTATTTTAAACTGTTACAACTGCCTGGTTTTAATCTTATGAGTCCTTTGAGTCCGCTTTAGCGACCATAACAAAGGTATTTTGATACCTCACAGACGAAACATGTCAAGCGCTACCTGTTCTCCTCTAACACACCAACATGCACGGAAACAAATGCATCATTCCACTGCTTCAAATTAAGATATGCTAATGTGAACACAATGTGCCATCTGTTTGTCACATTAAGAGGTCCCCAGAGCAGCGCTCCCACCCTTCTCATTTTCTCTTCCCCTTCCCATTTTTTCCCAGTTGGTTAAGAAGAGAAGCTTAGATCAAACCAATGAGTTTATTGCCTCCTTTCAGGCTTGTTTCTTCCTCCTTATCTTACTTGTCATCCTTTAGGACTTATCAAAACTCCTAAGACAACTTCCTTCCC